GGATCTTGTGGCCACCTACAAACTTGCCAAGGGGAACCAGCAGGCAATGGGAGAGTCTCTGTTCCCCCGAGCACTACTGGGAGTTGCAAGGAATAACGGCCATAAGCTGACTTTGAGTAGGTTCAGGCTAGATATCAGGAGGCACTACTTCACTGTCAGGGTGGCTAGGATCTGGAACCAACTTCCAAGGGAAATGGTGCTCGCTTCTCCCCTGGGGGTCTTCAAAAGGAGGCTAGATAATCACCTAGCCAGGGTCATTTGACCCCAGCATTCTTTCCTGCCCATGGCAGGGGGTTGGACTTGATGATCTGCTCAGGTCCCTTCTGACCCTACCAACTCTGAAACTAAGTGGAAACTTAATGTATCGTGCTCAAACATATTATTAATTTCTTGTTTATAATAAATATCATACAGAAAGCACCCAAATATTAGACCAGAGTAATTAATGTTGTGTTTGTTAATGTTGCACTATCTTTTCTACACTGGAGCAGTATTAAAGAATTTAGATTCTTATAGTAAGAAATTCAGTCTAAAATATACAAAAACTTTTTTAAAAGGGATGAAATTTGCATAACTTGCATATTGGGACATAAGTATTAAGGAATTCATGTCTTGAAACAGACAAAAGTTGACAGCAAGCTCAAACAATTCTCAAATATGTTTTCTAGCTTTACCTCTGTTTAAAATAATCTTTTATTTTTAATCTTCAAATATTCATAAGCCTTAATATGGTATTCTGAGGTTTCCCTCATCTAGGTCACATGCCCTGTTGATGTAAAATAATTACAGCTATAAGAAGTTAGGGGGTAAGAAGATCCAGCCTCATGTTAAATGCATGAACTGGGCCACATGGCCTTAAGTCATGTTACATCAGTTACTTGTTATCCTAAATTGACATTTTATGGTCTAACAATCCTCTTTAGAACAGCAGCACCAGACTGGTTTTTGTAACTTTTTCTTCAAACAAATTGTGCCTGGAGTAAGTGCCCACTTTTCACAAGGCTTTCTTCTGGGTATTGCCAAGGTTGAGAGATGAAGGGTAGAGAATGGGGGATCCCAAATCCCCTACTGCATCTTTAAAAATGTCAAAAAAATGAAACAGCCAAAATCCTATGTGGGCTTACTGGCCCTGCCCCAAACAAAATGCTTTGTATCACATGAATTAACCATCCTTAAAGTTATGGATGAGTGACTAAATAACGAATATTTTTGTAACTTTGATCTACATTACTTTCCTATAGTTTGTGTTAAAGTGTAAATGCCATTCCTTGATGTTGCTAACTCTTAAGGCTTCATATAACCTTATAGTCTTTGGTGGTGCCATTTAAAATTGTAGCTTTTGGAGTTTTGTGATTACATAGGGTGCTAATTTTATCTTGAAACCCTCAAGGCTTGAGGAAAAGCTGGAAAAGCCAAACACTTAGGCCCCATCTACACACTTATACTTGAGGTGTGATGATCCAGTTAATTATGCCTTAAGTGGTTACCTGGCCTCACACTCAGTCAATTAATGGCATGATATAAAAAAAAAAAAAGGAATATTTTATGGAGGTGTTCCACAAAATATGTGTAACTTTGTAGCTGCTTCCTATTGTGTCATTAATTGAATGTGTGGCCAGGGGCCCCTGTGGGCCTGAAGCTCCCTCATCTGAGGCATCCATGTGCATCCCTGAGCCTGGGGCTCCCAGCTGCTCAGGGCCTCACCCCCCCCCCCCCCCCC